CACGTGGCCAAGGTGCAGATGTTTTCTCCCACCTCCCCGTGAGAGGTGTCTGCCTGGGAGCCTGAGGAGAGAACCCACAATGTCAGGTCACATGATGAGAAGCTGCTTTGTCGTGCAACATATGCATGTGTGGTCATGTCAAGGGAAATAAGATGGGAGATGAGGTCCTTAAGGGGCTTTGTTCCACTCGCAGCTGAAATGTTGTGACCTATGTAATATTCCACAGGTCTATGGAAGCTCACCATCCTTGTGGTCTAAGCCAGCTCTGTGTCTCATAGAGCAATCAGGAAGGTCAAAGCTAAGTAAGTCCTGCTGAGAAGCTGGAGACTCTGCGTTATGCATATACAGTGTGCGGGCCAACTTGAAGCACAGGCAAAGACCACTTGAGTCTGCTTGTGATAGGAACATGTAGGCATACCCTGAACCAGAGAAGGAAGGCATGCCTACAAAGGTTTTCTGCAAATGCTGCTTGGATGGTAGCAACGAGGGAGCTGTGGGATAGGGACATGGCCTGTTCTGGAATCTCAGAACTGGCGGGTAACTGGTGTAGAAAACTATAATACCTGGAGGCTAAAAAAAAAAAAAAAACAGAATTATACTTGTTGCTGCTAAGACTGTGGTACGTGACTTGACAGGTGTATGGAGGTCGCCTGTGAGTTTGTACTGGTAGCCTTCTTGTTCTGCAGAATTTGGATTCACAGATATGGTTCAAGTGGGCTGGTGTAAGCTGTGTTGCAAAAGGGGACAGAAAAACAGTGTACTAGGACTGACCTGATTCCATACCAGTATTTCTCAAGTCCCATTTTGACCAGTGTGTGTGTGCGTGTGTGTAAATGACATCTATATGTATTCACATATGTATGAACTAGCTTTTATACTAAGTGTATCTTCACACTCACATGTGAGCGATCATGCGTGCACACACCATGGCAGCGGTCAAAATGGCCAGCTGTGTGACACTATACCATATCAGTACTTCTCAAAACACTAAACATACTGTATATACTAGCATTTCTCAATAAGAAGCTGGGAGAAATAGGTTTTGTACCAAAACATCTGAATTGTCACATCAGGACATTCAGTTTTACACTGATTACTTTGTGTGTGTGTGTAAAAGATCTGGAATTGAGTTGGTTTATTTATATATCTATATAAAAATGTGTGGCCCCTATGGTTGCGAGTAATGACTTTAAATGTCACCCAGCATAGTGCTTTCCCCCTCATTTTACACAGGTACATATCAGTGGCAGTTGTGGGATGTTAAAACCCTCATGGTTTTAACTACAAGGAATTGCCGTGCAACACACTGTTTATATTTCTGACTGTTCTGCTGCTGATCATTTTAGTGACAATAACTGACTGGTGTGCTTATCCAGCACTGCTGGAGCTTAGAAAAGATTTCTGGTTTTGCAGTGTACCTTACTAATCCTGCAGCTGGCTCCATGGCTTCAGTAGGCCTCTGGAAAAAGGAATGCAGACTGAGGCCAGTGAAAGGACCGGAGCTGTGGTGGAGAAGAGATGAAGGAAATAAAGATGCTAAGAAGATCCATGGATTTGAGCGGCTGCTGGCCAGGGATGCTTGTGAATGGCTTGCTCTACAGAACTTGCTACTCTCAAAGGGCTTGCAGGGATCCTTTCTGCAAGCTGCAAGCCATTTCTTGACACTCAACTCCTGATAAAATGTTACGTTCATATAGTTTAATAAAAAGGAGCTGTAGGGGGAGCATGAAATTGTTTGCAGCTCCTAGAGGAACAAGGCACCTTTATGTGCAGCTGCTCAGGGAAGTAGAAGGAGCTTTCAGAAATGGGGTGGGCTTTGTTTACACAGGAACCAAAGCCTTCATTTGCAAATGCACATTTTTGCTTTTAGCTTTGTGTTTGGTTTTTTGTATGAACAGCTTCAAACCAATGACTTCTTGATTTCTGTTCCACTTCTGGAAAGTGGTTTGGAAATGTGACTAATGGTCATCTAGTTGGTTCCAGAAGCGTCAACATTTTCATTTGCTAGCAGAATTTCAGAAGGGTTATACAGCTCTCAGTTGGTAGGCTCATTTTTAACTGAATTCAAAGGTTATGCTGCGGTCCAGCTGTAGAACTGATCAATTTGTGTGGGTCTGTCCCATTCCAGTTTAAGTTTCCTACAGGAAATCTACAGCACTAAAACTGTCTGTTTGGCTGAGAAGCCCTGTTTGGCAGGGAAAGGCATCTTGTGAATGCAGCTTTTCTTCTGGCAATCTGGAGTCACTGTAGCAGATCAATGAGATCGAACCCAGGTCTGCACATAGCTGAGCTCAACTCAAAGGGAAACCCTCTCACATCGAGGTTCTGGTTTGAGAAGCCAGCTGCCCCTGAATATGCCTTCGCAGCAGTCCTCAGAGCATTTATTTTCCTTTCTACACGCTTTGTGAAGTGCTGTGTATAGTTAACAGTGCTCTATAAATTAGAAGGATTGACGTGCATTTTTTTCCTAAGATCTTCATGAACTTATTTAAAACTGTATGCCAAATCAAAGTGGCCTTAGGGTTCACAGCACATTGCCAGTGCAGTAGTCTTAGCGGCTAGGATTGGATTGCTCACCAGTGTAAGCACATTTCTGGAGTTCCTTTCCATAGCCACTGTTAGTTTTCCCTGTTCAGTGTCACTTGGCTGAAATAATTCACTTCCCCTAGCCTGTCTGCCCTTTACTGTTTGTGATCATCTAGCTGGAGAGGAGAATCTGGGCACCACCCTTCCTTTGCTGTTGCAGAAGTTACAGGGTATGTTCCTCTTCTTCCAGGGATTTAATCGCTTTGTGGGCAGCACAAACTCATGAGCCAAATTCAGAAGGCAGAGCTATGGGCATGTGCAAAAAGTCAAGAACCAGAAGGTTTACTTTCACAGCAGCTAGCTCACTGGCTTCTCTACCAGCTGTCTCCTCCCTCAGGATCGTAGTGAGAGACTGGAAAAAGCAAAAGGTAATTAGCTACTATCATTCCAGCAGACCATCCCTAGCACCCTCCATCCCAGACCCGTGGCCACCAGCTAATGCCCAGATCCTCCTGCCAGCTGAGGGACCTCTGTAGAATACTGTAAATTCCTGTTGTGCTAATGGTGCTTAGATACTACAGTGAGACTATGGCACTTTAGAAATACCTAAGATAGACGAATGGATGAATGACGTGCCCAAAATAAAAATTTTCACCCTAGCGTTCTTTGTTATCCCATCTTTTTTTCTTTCTTTCTCCCCAGAGTGACCTCCTGAGCACCAGTTTCTTGGCCCTTGGCAGGATCAGGTTTGGAAATATAAGTGTCATCCTTTACAGAGGGATGACTATTAGCACAGCTGCTGTGCAATGCAAATAAGAATCTGGAGGTGAGGGATATTCTTAGAATTGGTCTTGATTTTCATCTAACGTTTCTGCATGAATCTGAAAAGCCAGAGGATGGCACACAGTGCTCACCATTCCTTTACGAGAGAAAGTGGCAGAACCTTATTCTGCAGTGACACACCATCCTGCTGGTAGATGAACCTGGTTCTAGCAGAGCTGCAGCTGCTCTAAGGAGATTACCTCCCCAGTTCTGTCACCTGGGTTGTATGGGATCCAGTTTTCCAGTCCTCTGCTGACAAAAGTATATGTAATAGTGATGACATTCCTCATTCCTCACAGGGAAAACAAATTTATTTTGATCTTGGACAAGAGGTGTGTTTTATGTGTTTAATAAATTTTTAGAAGTATTTAATGTGTAATCTCTAAAGCAATTTTTGAGAGATATCAAACAAACAAAACTGCCCTTGTGTGCACAGCAAACTGTGTTCTTTCTGGCCCTGTTTTCCCTTTACCCCAGCAACTGGTCTGAATAGCCAGAGACAGAACAGGAGCCTCCATCTCTGAAAAAAAAGGAAAATACAGGATATTTGAGGAAATGGAGCCAACAGAGGCCAAAAGAGGCATCTGCTTTGCTGCTTATGCCCTCGTGTCCCAAGCTCTGAAGGGCCTTCAGCCTTTCCATGCCAAACCTGATATATCTCACAAGTAGGCTGATCCACCTCTCAACTGTCCTCTCCCTTTTCTCGTTCAAGTGCTTGCTGGCTTTCTTAGAAAATGCATGAATCCACTTGATAACACTGCTTTTGCGGTCCTGATGGACTTTGACAACCGGCTAGTTCTCTTCTCACAGGCCTGGCCTGTTTGGGACACTCATTCATGCGAACAAATGCAAGAGCCTAGGAACCAGAGAGCATAGGAGCCAGACTTTTTAGGGGAAGCAAAATTTTCCTCTTTCTTCCTGAGGCTTGCTATGGAGGTCTCTGTAGCTGCAGATAGCAGAATCTGTGCCTGGGACAGCATGGTCAGAGCACAGTAACCCTTCAAGGGTAAGTGAAAGCACCCATCAATTAAAGAAGGCCATACCAGGTCCAAACAGTCTCATGGATGCAGAGAGTGCAAAGATATGCAAACTCCTTTGTTCCCTTCATTTTGGCACTCTCTGTGCAAAGCACAGTTCCATTGGATGTAAAGGTCAGCGTTGCTTAGGAGAGACTAGTCTGAACAGCCATACGGACAGGCAGTTCAAAATAACTCTACCACACCGCAGCAAACCTTGGCTCCACAGCCTCGAGGAATTGACCAAAGTAACCTTCATCTGAGGCCAGACCAGGTAAGGTTCTTCTGCTTGGAAATGCAGCTGGTTTGACCCCTGGCAAAGCTTCCTCGGAAGGCTTTCTCTGTTAATGCTGCAAGCACAACTGGCCTGCACAAGCCTATCTCCCTGCCCTGGGCATGGGTAAGGGTACGGGTAATGGCATGGCATTATTAAGAAGGGCAACACAGCCAAAGTAAAGGTGTCACAAGGCATTTTGCCATCGCAAAGGTGAAGCGTTGAACCAGGCCACCATGTGAGGGAAAGGGTAAGCAGAAGAGATTGAAATGGGATGAACGGCTAGGAAGAAAGACTGGGGAGTTGGATTTCCTGAAGCTG